GTATTGTTAACTTGATTCTGATTGGTTAATACCATTTATTATTCTTTATGTATGTGTAAGATCTCCAAAGTTTTCTCACTTTAACGTTGATAAAGATAGCAGGAGCTATCGAAATATCCGTTTGATTTTGTTATACCTTAATAAATTTAAATCAATGATTGTAAACCGTTTGTTCATTGCTTTTGCATTCTATGTACATATATATACATATACATATATATATGTATATATATATATATATTATATATGTTAGGCCTATAATTGTATCTCTCACCGAACATTTGCCAACACGCCCGAAGCTTCGTTTAGGCTGGCCACGGATGACATGCGACTAAGGACCTTCGGCTTCGGTCGTCCAGAAAATTTATCCCAACGAAATGACGCCCTACTGTAATAGATAATATATAAAACAAACAAATTAAAACAAAGTATAGCAACATCATTATAATGAGATCTTATTTTGATGATATTTATCAATTATATATATATATATATATATATATATATATATATATATTATAATAATAATAATAAAAAAAAACATTTGAACGACAATAAGGTTTGTTATTTCAGTGAATAGTAATAAAGAAATAGGTGGTGAAACTGTTCTTTATATGACTTTAATGAAATTTATTTGCCGACTTGTTTGTTACAAATGACACTTTATCACCCAAATCATAAATGTTATAATAAATTGATAATTAGATATTCACGAGTAACGTTTATTTATTGTTAAAGACGTCTGTGATGTTATTGTTCAATAAAATAGGTAAAGTTATGCATTACATACCATGCAAACACAAACACAATAGAAATAGTGAATTAATTGATACTTGGTTTAAGTTTTGGTGGATTTGATTTGATTTCTGTTTAACTTATTATAAAATGCAATTCAACTCGAGATTCATACGTATCTCAGAGCTGCCATATTTTATGAACTGTAAATGTTTAATGTTGTTATTGTGAATAAAGAAATACCGGAATATATAAAACAACCCATATTTCATCTTTAAATATATGTATAAAAATACGAAGTTGTAGCTTACCCATTGCCTTCTTGCCCAAGCTCGACAAGATATCGGCCAAAATTCTACAGAAAATGAACACATAAAACAGGCCTACATTTAGTAATTTAAATAATTTGATAATAACGATGATAATGTCAGTTGTGGTGCTATTGATTGTAGAAGGTTCGTCATGCAAACCTTCAAAAGATAATGTTATGCTTATGAAAATAGGGAAAAAAGGGAATCGATTGGGGCAATCGACTTTTTGATTTGAAAGCAATCCCACAATCCATTCTCTGCTCGACAGTGTAATAGAGGCATAAGCATTAATATAGATAATCAAACATTAAAAGACTCTGCAAGTCGTGTACTAATGGCCCACTGTGTGGCATATGTTATTCTATATTGGTGTGCAATATTTTGGAGAAGTGTTGCTTAAATTTGCCTCCTTCTTACAGTTCGCAGCAATCGAGTTTTCTATAAAAATAAGGCACCCCCAAAAACTCTAGTCTATTGTGTTGTTGTTTGAGTATTGTCACTAGATCAGAAATGGTATTTATGCAAGGAATTGTTTTTGTTCTTCCACTTCTACTTATTCGTTTTTGCTTATGACTGACGATCGTAAAAAAAACCAAAAAAACCAAAAAAAAAACACCAAAAACATTTGAACTTGTGATAATATAGGTAATGTTTATTATGCATGTATATGCGCATTGGTGTCATATCAAGTTCCATCAACTTACTTCACCATTTTCAGGCGCGTCCCCGTTACCAAAAGTACTCGTAACGACAAGTAGTAAGGTCTCGTGTTCAAGATGGGCTACGTCATACTCGTCCATACACATGACCTTATGAATAAAGCTGAGCACTTATTAAATGTTCTTTTGAATACGTCGTTATTGATATTTCAAAAATAAAATGGAATGAATTTGATGATACATTATTTAACGTATAAAGTTTTTGTATTGGCTGCTTTATTATTATATCAAAATGCAAACGAAAATACCCAGAAATATTAACTTAAACTTACTCTAGCATCGAACGCATGGTTAAAGATGTCTTTCAGAATTTTAGCATAGTTTTCAGACTTTCCGGTTTCAGTAGCGAACAATATTGTTGCTTTGAATCGTTTGGCCATTGCTCTTCCCATCAAACTAGCAGAAAACTTGACAGCTCTGTAGATTAAACATACAATGAACCAAGAGAAACATAAAGAAAAATTATGGTTCCCGTTGTTGCAGCGTTGCAATAAAAGCGAAAAAGTGAATCCCATGATTGCCATAGAACTATAGAATACGTACAATTAACCCTACAGAAATATCCATCTGCTACTATACGTGACTTGTCGTATTATTAAAAATAGAATAAATAATGTCAATAATAATAATAATATTACATTGGAGATGTACCAACAGTAAAATATATTTTATAGAATAATATGAGCAAGACAGCTTTTGTGGTGTCAAGTGACTGGTATGAAATTTAGTGGCATGATGCCTCTTTGGAGACTGACGGTCAATCAATCCAGATCGAGGTTGCATGTTTATATGCATGTTTGTTTTGGCAAGAAAATTATCGTTTCCAGTGGTAGAAAGTATCTAAAAGAACTATATATAGTTGTCTCAAAAGTATTGTGGACAAAATAATGCAGGACAAAGCTGACTGCAGGAGTGAGTGTAGTTGTAGAGATCAATATACTGGCCCAAGCTATACTGGAAACTGTGTAAGTGGTTTAGTTTTTAAAGCAGGAGTGGTACGACCATTGTGGTATTATCATTGATCGATAAATCCCACTTATTATTAAAAAAATATATAATAAAAAAAAAACGTTGAAAGATCTGATGTTTGCTTATCAATGTTATGTCAAATGTAATGGCGCCCTCACGTTACTTGTACTGTATTGCGAATGTGCGCCCTTTGAATTTTATCAACATTAACTGTAAATGAGGAGACATTACAGCATTTAGACGGTCGAAAAACAGTTCATTGACTGGACAAATACAATGAAATACTACTTAACCGTGTTAACTGCCAGAAAAGCACAAATGTATGTACTGTACATTAATTTCTAATGTATATTTTGTTAACATTTGGATTATAAACTTTCAGCTTTAATGCCTGAATATACGGCCACTGTTTTCTATATAATTTGAATTCTCTTACTTTTTTTTCTCTTTTTTTCTCTTTAGTGGGGATTAAACCCACTTTTATTTCTTCTTTTCTCTTTGATTTTCATAAATCATGTCATAAAATATCCGTTTTCTATATTTACAACAAGCTTAAAAATGCAAAGGCGCATATGCATACAATTAAAAGACAATTTTGTACGTGCATGTAGAATTCTCTTACTTTGCAACCTCTTTAAACGTTCTCCTCTTCCTTGGTTTCGTCTCTGAGCTTTTGTTTTTCCAAACATGGCTGACCCAAGCCGGCTCCTAATAAAGACAAGAACAACGAGGAAGTTGTTATCAACACTACGTCACAGTGTGATGTCTCACAAATTAAAATAGCATCGTAAAATAAATTTGTCAAAATTGCAACGGCATATCTTTCTCATAAAATGTTTGCTAATGGATAGGCGAACACTGACAAAACGGCAGAATGGGAGAACACTATTCTGACGTCATGTCTTCTATTTTTGCTTCTCTCTACTTCAGGGACTACGATAAATTCACAGAAAATTCATCATTACATCGATTACACTCCTTTCGTCAAAGTCCTTTTCCCCTAGCATGTGTATACTCACTGGGGTACGATACATCAATTATATTGCCAGTAACTTAAGTGCATACATAGTACATATGGACACATACAACCCATTGTGGAAGATTGGAAAGCCACATATACCTATTGACAGAGTAAAGTCACAGAATAATACGCATCTCCAGGGGTAAATGTAAGTAATTTGTCATTCGTAGAAAGGGTATATAATAATTTGTGGGTCGGCAAGTCAAAACAAGTCATGAATTAATTGTTTTAACAGGGTGTTTTTAGTAAGAACTTACTCCAGGGACTAGGCTCGAATAATCCCCTAAAGCTGGCGTTCTTTAATTATTGATGGTTACAACATAACAATAATGGCCCTTTAATTCTTATAGAGTTCGGCTTTTTCTTTGATATGTTAGTTTATAAACGGATATTCTGTCATTGACTTTATTGTTTTATTTTCATTTAAACAATAGTTTGTAGGCCTATGTAATATATACAAATTATTGTTAAAAATTGGAATAAAACAATTTCAACATGAATTATATCAAGGCAATTGCCTTGATATAGGCCTAGGCTTAGCAGTCTATAAAGTGATTACACCCAAAAAAATTGATAGAAAAATAATTTTACATCCAATTTTCGTCACCACACTTTTACATAAATCCCATCGTCATTTTAAAAGAGATTTAGAAATATTAACAGATGTTTTTGAAAAATACCTGATATTAAAAGCATATGTCAGATGTTGTATAAAGATGTCACGAAATGATGTAAGCAAATATCAAGTATGTCGGAAAGATAATTTATGAAAACGTTTCCTATGTCGCAGCGTATTCGTCAAAGGTTTGCCAGGTATCTCGGTGACGCGGTGTGTTGCGTAATATAAATAGCCAAATATACCAATTAACAGAACACAAAAATAACAGAAATAGAGATTGGCCTACCTAGACCTAAAACAGTAAACTAAAAGACATTATAGTTAACTGAGATTCATTAAATAAAAACACTGAAAAAAGGTGGCATTTTAAAGACTAGTTTTGTTTGGCGTGATACTAACTTTAAAGGACAAAGTGTTCTCTGGTAAAAGATATTCGCAAGCTAGAAAATCTCAGTTTAAAACGAAGCTGCAGTATATATCTATGGTCTTCGTTAAACCACGCCCACCTGCGAAGTTGTAAAATCCTTCTTAACGAAGACGACCAGTCTAATAGAAAACTTGTAAATACTCGAGAAAACAAAATGGCTGCATAGTTACCGCGATACACGCGCTGCGTAATTAAGATTGCTTCGGCTTGTGGCAGTATGCGTTTCTCGTAAAAAAAAATGTTTTCTTCTAGTTTTGGAATTCTGTTAGCATACAATATTTTTTGACTTCATGTGGGTAAATATTATAATTCTTATTTTCTGAAATTTAATCTAAAATTATATTAATACAAATCGGCCATGTTTGTTTTGGTCACGTGGATAACTTAACGCACTCTGGTTACGTTAATTTTCGTTGTCAACGAAGTCTATTTTACGAACCAGTCGAATGAAAATAATACTCAACGAAAATTCGTAGTCAACGAAATGAACCAGTCGAATATGCCCTATGCCAAAATTGTAATACTTTTTCTATACCACACGAGTATGATTTGTTTAGGTTCGTGTCAGCCAACTTCTTGTTACAAATGTCACCACATCATATCAGCCTATTAATGTTACTGAATTTGCTGTTGCTCGTAGTTGGAACCTTCCATTTCTAATAATTTTAAATATATCAAGTAATATATATACCGGAATGAATGTATGTGAAAATTTTTCGTTTGCTATAAAACGTCAAATATATGTGTCATCGTAGACGAGCTATTAAATAATCCTTTTTATCAGATATTATAAAACATATATACTCCATTTTCCAAGTAACGCAAATAGTTTTTAGTAACAACTTGTGTCATTCCCTGGTACAAATTTCTATTTCCAAAACAGACTTCATGGCTACGCAGCCATTTAGCCTAATAATAGAATGTAGGAATTTTCGAAAGATCAGCATAATAACAATGGTAGACATCTCGTCTGGGATGGTTATGGTTTCAAAGCTTCGTTGGTTAATTATTGGTATAACAGGTGACATGAAAGGTTATGTGGAGAAGATTCATTCATGACACAGCTGGAATACTCCAAATGATGTGTATGCTAATCTGTACATTTGTATTGTTTTGAACTAAACTAATGTAGTCTTGTTAAAGAAATACTGAATGTGCTAAAATCTAGAAAAATTCATAAAATGAAAACATTGAATTGTTTATGCAAAAGTCTCAACTAATTAATTTCTGTTGAGACTAGACACAAATTGAAGCAATAATTAGTTTTCACATTTTTATCAAAGTATCATAAATGTATTATTAGTAAACTTTAGTTGTCTATAGTGTGCAAAAATAATAAAAAGTACAGTACATAATTTAATGTGTGTGTTGGTCTGGTGCAGAAATATTTTGGCGGTCTATTTTTTAATTTAAAATATATTCAAAGTAATTAAGCAATTCAGATATTGAAATTTATTAGGTCAACAAATATATTAGACGTTTTATCTTTCAATGTAGTGAATTAAAATAACTGTATTTGAAAGTGAGAGTTGTATTTTAATATGTTTAATGAAGTTTATCATTATAGAAATATGAACTTTAAAAATGATTACTGCTTAAAAATATTACAATACAGTATTATGTTTCAACCAACAAGTGGTAATCATACAGTAGATGGTATATTTGTTTCGAAATAAATCATGTTATTATGAAAAATGCCATGATTGTCACTGGCAATACTTTAATTTCAAAACTAAAGCGAATTCAGAGGATTTCCTCTAGATCCAAAGATGGAAAGCGAATTTCAATGTTGAAGTGAATGACAACATTGAGCTGAAATCTCTGAGCATTTGTATTCTTTGCTGAATCGTCAGAGTCACGTTCGATGGCATTCTGACCGACTAGACTATCAACTAAAACATTTTAATGAATGGAAAACCATTTAACTTTATCATGTTTCTACTTAGTGCTTTGCTAAGCAAGCTAAACGTCACTTGAAATCATACACCATAGGAAAAGCCATTTATTACGCAAAACACTTTCTTCCTAGAAAAGATAAAGAACGTACTATTCGATTTAGTCAACATACACAAGGCGTATTTGCAGTGATTACAAATATATTTTTTTTAAATATATTTTCATAAATCTAACCTCAATATATCACAAGATATTAAACAGGTAAAACACCCCATCAGCGATAGAGGAGTTTCTCTATAGTTGAATATTTTGTGGTGTCAAATTTGATGATGACTTTATTATTTATGAAACGTTTTCAACTTATTAATAATTATTACTGCTACGTCGGTGACCTATACGTTTCCAGTTTATGATAACAGGTGGATGTTACTCGTAACAAAAACACATACAATCAATATCAACAGCATTATGTTAACATTCGGTTACAATTAGTCTAAATTTTTGAAATGCCAAAGTTCGAGTACAAGCAAAATATATTATGTCCAGTGTTCAATCAATAAAGTATATTGCTATTGTTTACCTGGTATTCATAAGATGGCTTAAGGAGATATGATAGCATTTCTTGGTGGAACACTGGTGTTATACTTCCGGACATCGGTGGCACAACCCAAACCCAATCTGCAGGGCATCCTCCTCGAAGACGCTGCTCGTTGTCAAGATGCTTCATGAACGACTCTGATGCAGTATGGTGGTCAGTTATTGTAATATTCTTTTTCTAGAAACGAAAACATTGACATGCAAACTTGTCATTACTTATTTTGTTTCAAAAAGAGGATACTATAAAGATATACTGCAGTATTTCAATGCAGAATTTGAATAATAATGATGATTAGGGATAATGATTATGATTACCATATTATATATGAGTTCCAGGACCATCCTGACCCGGAAGGAGAATAGCAGTTAAGGGTCTACCTAGGGTGACAGGTATTCATTCATTTATTTAAAAAAATTTCCTCTTCCATTTTTATGGACAATCAACATAATGACGGCTATGGGAACAAGTAATAAGTAAATATGAGTTGCTTGTATTGGCGTTTACAGTATACGTGAAGGATAGTGGATGAACCCTGGAGCTATATAGCTTATGGATGAACCGTAAACGTTAATCATTTTGGCTCACTTTTTGTATCTGCTGACGGGATTTAATAAATGAACTCGAAACTTAACTGTAGAAAATTGCTTATGTTTACGCTTATTATTGAACTGTGGGTGACCGGATACCTTTAAAGGACAAAGGGCGATATAGTATCTGTTTATGCAAGCCATTCTAAAATATATGATTACTCATCATTTCATAAAGTCGACAGCACATTGTTATTATTAGGCGTTGGTATCGGGATAATTTAATTAAGCGATAATTTCGGAGCGACCATCAAGTTCCCTGTCGACGCAACATGTACACTTGTGTTACTATTGATGACAGATTGACAGTTTAATATTTGAATATAAGTCAAACTTCTTTATGACAACAGGTAATAACGCTTATTCCTTCATCGAAAAATCGATTGTATATTTTCGGCTGCCTCTAGGCTATCCCTTTCTAAAGTCTCTAGCTTAATCGATATATCTCCCATAATTAATATAGGGACGACTAGGGCACAATAAAGAGTGATTATAAAGAACCAATCTGTTATGAGAATATACATTTTATTTAAGTGATCTTGACTGAGATATCACTATTACTACGCTCCCGGGTAAAAGACAGATAAATCAACTTTGATGCGCATTGATTTTTTTTTGTTTCCAGGAGATCAGAAATGAAATTATATTCAACCGGTGCCGGAACTATACTCGATGATTTTAAATAAAAGAAGGATCAAGGGTTGAACGTAAAGGTAATGAAGTATGCTGTCGGTATCACAAAGAAAGGATATGATTCAATAAAGATTAATTAAATGTCACTTGTAGGTATCGATTAACACCGTTGTTTGTTGTCACGAATCAGATTCAACTGCCTACAGATGTAACAAGTGAAAGACAGACAACGGTCTTGTCCAGATGCTTGTGTTTATTCTTTAGTTCTTTCTTTAAAAAATTAATAGGTTTATAATAACAATAATTATTATGCAATAAATAATATTAAATACTGCCATAATAATTTCGTTTATTGTGTTTATTATATTTATTAAATTAACCTTGCAGTGAAGGATTTACGTAAACGTAAAAAATAACAAAAATACTATATTAATATTTAATATTATAATTTCTAATTTCCATATTCCAATTCGGTAATATACTGTTAGTTATCTATTTTATAATTAGTATTATTGATTATACAAATAAATAATATCAATAATAAACCTATTATGATTATAACAATTATTATTTACTGTATTATTAGGTTTATCTACAGCAATGTATTAATATAGATCCCTCGATGTATCAGTGTCATAACACAATCATTACTATTATAATTCCCATGTCCGAGTCTGCCTTTTAAGAACATGTTGATTCAAGATATTTATTTTTTGAACCTATCTGACCTGGTGACTTTTAAGTCTACATTTTTACCTTTCACCCATTACTCTTAAAGTCGAAGAAGAGAGATTTATTAAAATATTTACAATTATAGGCGGCCCTAATAATAGACAATATTATAATTAGAATTACAATGTGCCAAACAGTGTAAAATTTTAATATAAATTTTTATAATTAGTATAAGACCAGACGAATCACTTTATTCCGCAACAATAGAAGCCCGACTTGACTAACGATCTTGGCTGTTAATCGCACACAAATCACTGCCTGCCTCGTTTAAAGTTGCGTTCTTTATGACGAAATTTTCTCAATTCGTTTATTTTGTATTCTATTTTTACTTCTTCTTCGGTCATTTAAAATAACATAATGAAGAATAAAGGCATAACTGTGTCAACAAAAATGTCCTCAAAACTCCATATAAAGTGAAATAGATAAAGTATTTCAGTTTAGTGTTTCTTAAATACACTTTCATTTCCTTATTTTATACTGCTGAGGAAATTACTTACAACGGCTCAGATCACGAACAAATTCATACGGTTATTGTGTTGCAGTCCAGGTAGAAGAAAATTTAAAGTAGTACGTATTTGAACGTTAATTAGACTCACAACAATTAGAATGCTTGCAAAAAATGACTGTCGAACAAACAGTGCGGTTCAAATCCCAATACGTAATGTGAATAATGTAAATTAGACTCACAACAATTAAAGTTAGTTAAGAGGTTGACGAGTTGAGATGCTTCTTAACCCCAAGGGACATACAGCAAACAATGCTAATTATTTGCTTGATTTGACATCGATGTGCCATCCAGTTCTTGTAAAATGAATCGTTAGAAACGAAATAACATACTATACATAAGTGTACAGACTTCCATTCATTTTGCTAATGATCGTCGCCGAATAAATTCAATTTATTATGCTTGATTAAAGTATAATTTAGCAAATTTTCATTCTATCCAACGAATCGTTTGAGTTAATAGTATACCGTACCGACTTATACATTAGAGTGTTCAATTTAAAGTCTATTTGCGAGTATCTTATGCTTGGCAACCTCGCGTCAAATAGCGAAGGTGTCGAGTACTTTCTTATGCTCTAACTAGTTTTATGTGAAGAATTACTTGCGATTTGTCAATAAGGTGTGATATGATATCATCGTGCCCATGGGCAACATAGAGGTATTCATCATAGAAAGCATAATATTGTGGGCAGACGACCAATGGTGAACCGGCGCGCAACTAATGAGAACTACGACCAAGGATAAAGGCCTATTTCAAATAGGGATGGCGGAATAAATAAAGAATTCTGGGAGGGGGCGGCTTACTAACATCATAACGTGTACTAATGAATCCACACTTCGACCGAACCGAATCTTACGCCTACACGAAGAGCAAGGAACGTCATAATGTTTTTGATCACAAAAGCAAGAGAAACGTAATACGGTACTGAGCTCAATTATTCAATCGTGTTGTTCATTAAATAAAGTCAAAGAAGTTTCTTTCGTCAGCAGTGCCGGGATACAAAAACTAGGTTACTTGTTGCTAATCGTAAGTATTTTATACACATGTGTATAACTCGTACGTGGATGGCTTTTCCTTTTATCAAAAGAGAAAATTTAAAAAGTGATTTCTTAATTATGTGATGCCCTACATAAACTCCATCAACAATTATAATGGTATCACATCGCAGTTCCACGTCAAAGGCATTGAACTACATTATTCAGCAAAAAAAACTTAGTTTATAGCTTATGTACAACATTTAATCATTAAATTTCTCCAAAGCAATCAAAGGGGGGAAGGTTAAGTGTGAATATTGAAGTGGTAAGCGTGAGATGTTGATAAACATGAGGTTTAAGGTGTGTGAATGTGAATACATTTAAAGTTGGAAGATCGAAGTGTGTGGGCCTGAGAGTATGCAAGGGTTAGAGGGTTAAGGTGTTGCTGTGTAATCATATGGGACGGGATGATGTGTTACATCCAAGCCGGGTGTGGTAGTTAACTGTGGAAGTTTTGTATTGAAAATAAAATTATGAATTGAATTATGAATAATATTATAATATTAATATACACTGATAATATTACAGTATTATTAGTGCGTTCTCTTACCTGGAAACTGTACAAGACAGCGTAGTTCACTTCCACTAACACACGATCTTTCCAGAGAGATGCATTTGCATTTGTGTCCAAACCCATCTTCTTGCCAACCGTCTATAAAAATAGATTTTACAGTAACATTAACACAATTTATGGGGCATCATGATTAAACGACTCAAATAAATAAAAGTGTTAGTTCAATTTATGTAATAACCTTATTTTTACTTATAACAAACTCCTTCCCCTTTTTTCTATCCTCCCTCATTTCATTTAGATCGTGACATTCGAGGACATGTAATATTATTGGTACATAACTATAACTGTTAATTAAATGTAATCTATTAATTATTATCATTAACAAACATTGTGAAACATGCAGAGAATTATGAAAAATGAAGCCAAAACCATTGAGATATGTATATATACAATCTGTCTCTTATACACATCTAGATGTGTATAAGAGACAGGGTATGCACTCTATGAAGTGACTGTTCTAGGTGGTTAATATACTGTAATACAAACCTCCAACATATTAAGTCTATAACTGTCACAGAAATCACGAGAAGCGATTTCTGTTCCCATATACCAGCCGTTAAAAGGGCAGCCTGTGAATTCCAATCCTCCGAGATCTAGCATGAGAGCGGATACGGCAGGCAGGGCATACCAACGTAGGCCTAGCTCGGCAAACCATGGATATCTAAACAAATCGAAATGAATTTATAAATTGATAATTTATCATTAATATATCTGTTAATATTATATGCATACTTCATCTAATTAAATTTTTACTTGATTTGATATTGAATTTCGATAGATTTTTCCAATGATGTACGCATTTAGTTTTATTTTTGAAATCGATGCTGAGAAATTCAAATACATTTTAATATCTGAAAAATACATTCTGTGTCATCTGATTGACACATCACAGTGATGATAAATATTGTTAAAGTGAGAGCGCAGAAGACGAGGATATATAAGGCATTAGAGGCAGGTTTCTACTTTACGTCAATGTGTTTACCGCTTAAGCAAATCAGTATCAGCGTAAGTTTACCAAGAGATCAATGACTCGTTCAGTTACAGAAGTTATCAAACATTAGAAGGGCGTGCATTAAACAGAGAAATAGAAGAGAGGGGGTTAAACGGATTTCTCAGAGTTTGTGATTCTGTCTTTTGGCTAACAACGTTCTGGGTCATTAAGCCTAATCGTCTCATTATGAATTAACGGAAAAGGCTCTGCTATTATGCAGACGGCTAGGTGAAATCGGACAAAATGTAAAAATCCAACAATAACATGCGAAACATTATTTTTGCATGTTTGGCGCCTTATGTTGTAATGTTATGTCAAAGTATAATCTGTATAAGGTCTACCGTCTGCTCTCTTTACGGCAAACGTATGCACCATGGGATCGAACGAAGACGAATTAGACATAAATTTCAATTCAAATATGGTTAAAATGGCTCTCTGAAGAGTGCACGCCATAATACGCGCCTACAGTGCATTCTAATGGGGTATCACAAAAAATAAGATCACGTGCTTTATTTCAACCAATCAAGAATAAAAATGTCAGGACATTTACATTTTCAAGGATAAGTGCGGGTCAGAAATGATAGGAATCATAACGTGTCTCACGAAATGCCACACCGTGTATTTTAGATTGTAAATTATACTGATATTAGTCATGGTAGATATTCATATCAAAAAATGTGTTTACATCCTATACACCACAACCAAGAACCATCTATTAACTAAAGTGACACTTGGTATTAATATAACATAATATAACATATTCCGCAGTCATCCTTATTTTGTCTATTCAAAATGTAAAAATGCTGAGTTTTTCCTGTCTTGAGTGGATATGATTCAACATGTAATAATACAGGACTAGATCATTTTGCATGTGAGTGCACTTAACGACAGTTAGTGATGACACGCTTTATTTTACGAGACAAATGGAAGCTACGTGAAGAAAATACAGACATGACAATTAAGGCTATCCTGCATACAATTTTCCTGGACCTTCACTATTAGGCCTACCTAATTCCAAACATTCTCAATGACAGACATACAGAGTTATTGAGACTCACTTACTCACTTACTGATTGACTGATTGATCGATTGATCGATAGACGACAGAAGAAGTTACCCGAGATTGGGAATCAATGGAATGACAGCCTTAAAATGACATATAGGCCTACTCACGTTATTAATTGTCTACGAAGAATTATCGTTCTATCAATAAAAATAGGCTTTAGTCATGGTGTCCCCGTTATAATATTGCACCTAAATAACATCATAAGCATCTCAATGCTGCTTCTAAACTAATGACCACGCAGCTCAATACAGTACTGCAACACCCGGTTTACGATAACCCCTCTGGCAACATCAAATAAACGATATTCGACGTTTTATATTACTAACGATTGACCACAATCATTGCCTTAAAATGTCATACCAATAACGAGAATGCGATGAAGTTTCAGTCCTGATTGGGGTCGGAAATAAGGCTCCGATACGGCATAGTTAGATGAGCATACGATAGCATCTAAAGTGATTTTGGGGCAATACTGTGACCATATGATAGCCAGGATTATAAACATGTCTGCTATTTTGATTGATAAATAATTGTGATGAATTTAAGAACTAATCAGTTTTGTACAAACTAGCGACACATTTCTGAAAAATAATCTTTCAATTGTCTTTAGTATCGTATGTTGTTTTAACAGTTATGCTATTGTAGTCAGTTGAAGTGGAAGCAGTTTACGTATTTTTCAATATTTAATGTTCTTTTTCTTTCTAAGTTTAATGCGGATCTCGTACAAGTGGTAGCTATTTATGCTTAAATTGATGCTGCATTAATTTCATCCTGCAATGCCTGTCAAAATATAAATATCCTGAGCTCTCCATCGTTAATTGATTGATATACAGCGCGACTGCAGTATTCGCGTTTGTTTCGTCAGCTCAATTCATGAAGATTATCTTAAAAATAGTCGGTATCGACAAAAGAATTAAAACGTAGCTGCGCCTGTTAAGCATTAATATATTATTAACAATGGAGACAATTAAGAGAGCGTATCGGAAGTTTAGAAGATGATACGTCTGAAAGAAACTGAAAACCAACTGCTATTTTTAAACGACTCTTTGATAGAAAACAATAATTTGTATCGATGTCGCAAACATACCGTGGAAGAAGCGTAAAATAAACATCACAAATAACACGTTTACTGACTTGTGACATGGCTCTACAAAAGGAAAATTGGGAGGAATGGCCTATATTTATACGTTTGTTGATTGTGTATGAATATCAGTTACGGTGTACTTTTATCGCTAAAATACTAAATGATATAAAGGGCGCTTCCCACCCGTTGGATCCAATCAGTCAAGCAATTAAGCAATTAATTTTTTTTCAATCAATTGATCGATCAATTATTCAATCTAATTAACTGATCAATCAACTTTGGGCGAGTCGAGTAGCCGAGGTAAGGCAGGGGCGCCGCTAGCTACAGCCTTAACATCGGCGCTGGTTCCAGCCGCTCCTCGCCCATGGTTCGGTTGGAGAACCAAGTCTTCTCGGATAAGGACTTAAAATGGAGGTCCAGTGTGGCTCATGTGCACTTTAAAGAACCCATTGCATCTTTCGGAAGTACCCCGATGTTATGGTTCATTTCAGCCCCTGTCGTTGTGGAATGATGTGAACACGTATCTACCATGAAGCGCCTCTTTGCGGCTGTTTGATGGATCACGCCCACACGCAATTCAGCACAATGACGCTCCAAGCTATGGGTTATTCTCCTACCTGTACCCTAACTATTCAATTAGGATACTATGATTCAATAATACGACAATTGTTATGGGCAATATTCTCCCTTTCCACAGACTATGGAAAATTTCTGAATCAGAAATAAAGTGGAAATTTTCAACTGGTAAATGTGGCTGCTGACTGCCGAGCATATGTATCTAGAGATCCGTCTGATCGTTTTATTGCACTTTATTTTACTACTATGACGGTAACTTGCGTGACTAGTAATCTTAGCTCGCACATGTTCACACTAGAGAAATTTGGACGCGTTGCCTGTGATTGCTCAGAGTGTGAACCGCCTAGTAGAACTTGTTTACGAACTTATCCAAATACTGACCGGCTACGCGTCCATCACCGACGATAAACACCATTTATGATTTAAATAAACATTATTATTCACAGGCATCCTCAAGAGTTAATGTAATGATGAATTCGGAGGTTGATAATGTTATGTGGAACAACAGTCAAAGTTTGTTGAACTATGGAGCTAGTCCTTTACATTACGTGTTAATAACTCCATGGATCAACTACTGGACTTTTTTTTAATGTGTCTAGAATTGATGTATATCCATTAATAATGCGATACGGAGAAATAGTATTGTATTTATACTACTAAAAAAAGCAACAGCTAAATTACAGCCAGAAATTAAACCAGAGCTATGTATAGGCCCTATATATGTATGTGTGGGTGTATGTATGAATATGAATATATGTATGTAATTCAATGTGTGTATGTATATATATGCTATACATATATATGTACGTTATGTATTATAATTAGTATACTGCAGTAATCCTCACATGTATACGTACTAATTGTTAAAAGATCATTAGTGTAAGTTTATTTTTCTGGCATTTGATTGCACAAATAATATTTTAATTTACTTTGTATTTTTGATCAGTATTTATGTATAACCTTCGTGTAATACATGTATGGCTGGATCTTGGTAAGATAAAATTTAAATAAGCAACAACGAAAAGAAAACTAATTGAACAGTCAGAAATGGGACCAGGGTCTTCAGACTTCTGTTTAAACTAATTGTTTAAAATTCAGTAGCTTAAGTTTATATTGTTAACAATTTTTTCAGTAGTGTACCTCGAGTATTTTGACACCTTACACGCTGCGCCACGCTACATAGTGTTAATATTAATTATCTATTTATTTATATATGTATATATACAATATAGTATAAGTTTATAAGTGTTTTAATTGTCGTTAAAGATAAATACAGAAGAAAAAAACATTAATCCTCATACTTTAACTTAAATACCTTTAACAAAATATTTTGTTTTCCGACTGACTCGACAATATTTCCATTTTAACAATATATCTACATTTCGATGCAAATTTTCTCATGCTTAAGGACTAAATTAGTTAGAATTCTAACGCTATCCGCGTCCATTTATACAATACAATCATTAAAATTCAAAATTTACTCATGCGAAACACGTTTATGAAAATGTCGTCACCCACATAATTTGTTTTGATAAATGTTCCAAGATAAATTAACAACTTTCAATAAGAAAAAATATAATGTGTTTGGTTAGAGAAAGGTGTTTTGGTCTTAAATTTGAAAGCTTCTGAACAACTTTTCTTCCTTGAATATGATATTATCTCACTCTAGTAGGATAATTGAAAAAGTACACAAGCACACAATTCTGTCAGTATGAAGATATCCTATATCATCAGTGTACTTATTATATCATTATCATGCAGTCTAAAATGTATGCAAATGGTTCATGCCTCTCAGTCGCAAGGACTTCACTTCGAATTTTGTAAATGTGTATTGTTTTGCACATCATTGAAAACATGTGATTATATATATATGTAAAATGTCTTGAACTTTAGCACAGTTATGCGCAATTAAAGCTACGAGATGTTTAATTTTTACTTATTTTCATACTTGTATAATATAATGAAAAATAGCAAATGTTCGTATAAAGCTCTTATGTCCAAACTATTAAATTTTCTTTGACAAAATGCTGTTGTATGCACATATAATAGTCATGATGTGCCTATATATGGTCATTATGTGATTTCCTCATGATGACCATATTTAGGCATGTCACATGTTTCTATGAAATGAAATTTGATAGGCTGGACATTACATTAATAAATTGTTTTCAAGATCCTTATTTTTAACATATAAAGCTTTATTATTTTCTCGTCCATCTTATATCACTCAACAAGTTCCTCAATATGTTCCATCTCGCCGCCTTCGTTCTTATGACAGATCATTGCTATCTGTTCCTTGTGATCATTGCTATCTGTTCCTTGTTTCCGTACTAAGACTTACGGTGGTCGTACTTTTTCTTGTGCTGCATCTTCTCTTTGGAACGAACTACCATCATTTGTTAAAGACTCGTCCTCCCTTGATTCTTTTAAAATAAACCTAAAGACTTATTTGTTCACCAAACTTCAGGGTACAATGCGCCTTTGACCATTTTCTTTAATTGGCGCAATATAAATGTTTGATTGATTGATTGATTGAAAAACACTTGATTGCACAGGTGATAAGCATGCACCATTATATAAACCAATAGGGTCTTATTTACTAACATCAGAGTATTTTCGTCGCCGGCCAGTGGCACTTACGTAGATCGACGCCTGTGTGCAATGAAACTAATAACACTAATGCACTATTATTATTCTTTTTAATAACACGTGATTCCACATGACAGACATTTTTAAAAAGTGCGTTCATTCTGCTAGAAATCTTACTAAAATAATATAAGGTGAGACTGGCTTGATGGATCGAAAACAAATTAGGTATAAATATTTATCGAATAATTAGAAGATTTAAATAGAATTCCCATATCGAATATGATTATAACTAATAGGGCCTAGTTACTTTTGAAATATTTAGCCAATAATTAAACTTCAGTCACACTCAAATATAAATGAACATCGTAATACACCATTAGGGTGTAGGCAACAGACCTAGATGGCAACGGGCCTATGGTGGCAAAAGGCCGGGTGGCAAAAGGCCGGTGGCAACGGGCCTGGATGGTAAAAGGCCGGGTGGCAAAGGGCTGGGTGGCATAAGGCCGGTTGGCAAAAGGCCAGGTGGCAACGGGCCTAGGGTGGCAAAAGACAGGGTGGCAGAAAAGCGGGTGAAAAATGCCGGGTGGCGAAAGGCCTGGTGGCAAAAATCCGGGTGGCAAAAGAAAGGGCGGTAAAAGGTTGGGTGGCAAAAGACCCGATGGGCAACGGGCCTAGGGTGGCAAAAGGACGGGTGGCAACGGGCCCGGGTGGCAACGGGTCGGAACCCACACTATTAGTGTCACGTGAATGATATGTTCACATATCCGAGAATACACTGGGTAAAGCGGCGCTAGAAGCGTCCGGGCAACATTGACTTGATATGGAAAACGTAATGATAGCATAGGCTTACGCAAATATAGATTGTTGGGTTTTTTGGTATCCAATATTCAACTTATTTAAAATCACAAATGGCAATAGCAGAGACTGAATTACGTGTCATGTGCTACCGTATATAAAAATAAGAAAAACATAAAATCACTGGATTAATGCGAAAATTGTTTAAAGCACATAGATATTTAACTGTTGTATAAAACATAAAATTAACAACGATGCAATGGGAAACGAACATAATTAGTGTTGGCAAACGGAAGAGGAAAGGTTTCCTATTAAAGGTCTACTATTAAGTGGTTGTATTATGAGTTTACAGTATACCATAAGTATTCAAAGTCTACGTATACCCTCCTATGCTTGTTTAAAATATGAACCTCCTGATTATCCACTGTTATTATTGGTTGTGACAGAGTGTGTATTCTCATTATAGGAGCATTATTTTACCTTCTTGCGCACCACTTACCATGGAGTGTTCTGTACGCGTGCGCGCAACTCTATATGACATGCAAATTCATGAAGAATTCACTTTACCACAGGTACGATAGTGACATGATGTTTTCTACTTACTTAGGATGGGATATCTCCACCTCCAAGATCAACTCAGGCGGAATATCAAACATCTCAGGGTCTTCACCGTTAGCAGACAAGACTAATGGCAATATATCGAATCGACCATAACCAGCTTTCCAACCAAATTTAATACAAAGCTGAAATGAAAGAAGTCAAAATTGATTTTCAATTTGTGGATGGCAGCCTAATAAATGTATACAATAATTTGGAAGAATATCATTATCGTATCATTATCATTCTTATTATTTTTGTTGTTGTATTGTTACTGATGTTTTGAAACGTCAAGATATTACTAATGTTGTAATAATTGTTATCGTTAAAATAGAATTGGTTATACAGCACTAAGTACCGTTGTCTTTATTGATTACTCGTAGTCTCATTAAAAATGAGACAAATTGTAGTTGAGGCCAAGGCCTGTCCGTTTTCAATTGATTGACTATTTTAAAATGGACGAAAATTACGTTCAAAGTGTTTTAAAAATTGTTATAAAGATGACTCGAAGAGTGCAGACAGGAAGGTAAATTTGTTTACAGTACTCTGGATAAATCTAAGTAATGATAACCTGAAACTAAAAGAATCGTCGTTATGGAAACGTTCCTTATTTCTAAGGTCCAAAGGAGTTAATAAAATTAAGTTGCTGAATATTGACTAATATCTAACTGTCGTGCTAGATTCATAGAATCTAATTCCTTAATAACCAGTAATGCAAAAGTAAACAGTAGCAAGTTATGGTGTCACAATCTGACATTCTTTCTTCAGCGCATCCTGTACTCAACAGTTGAGAATCACATAAACAAATTGTGTAAGTTTCTGCTTGCCTGTAGTGGCAGTGCTGCTACTACTGCTCGATTGCTACTGCTACTTCTACTACTTCTATTACTACAACTACACTACAACTACAACTACTACTACTACTGCTGCAGCTGCTGCTACTACTACTGCTGCTGCTGCTGCTACTACTAGCCTACTGTGTTGCTACTATTAATGCCGCTGCTACTGCTACTACTCCTGTTGCTGCTACTATTACTACTGGTACTGTTGCACTACTATTGCCGCTATTATTCTACTATTCTATTATGTTCTATTCTTTGCTGGTGCTCGTCATCTTCTGTTCAGCATCTGTGTTATGGACGTCACGGTGGACTGCCCTTTAGCCGACCACTCATAGGTACAACTAGAAAAAGAATTATGCCTATAGTAGTATTATACTCCTACTGTTTTTTTTTCTCAAACATTTTAAATAGTATAAAAATATACTAAATCACTGTATATTAAACTACCGGTAATACAATTTTTATATGCACATTTCTTTATTTTATCATTCAAAACATGCGTACGTTGTAAACATTTGTATGTCATTCTTTATTATAACCTACACCTCGTTTTAACATATCGTAGCCGTTAGAAATAAAACCATTTATAATTACTGACATCACCACTGGAAATTGTTAACATTTCAAACACCACAACATAAAGAACTAGACTAAAGTACTTTACAACATTATGATGCATTGTTTAACGATTTAATGCACTTCGTTACTTATCTGAAGCAATTTATTGCCAGTTTCTATATCATGAAATTACTAACAGTTATCCCCAGGCCAAACATTTCTGTTTAGAAGATTACTGGTTTGAATTTAAATGAAGTTGATATAACCGGTTCAACTTGATCATTATCCCTGTGACTAAATATATCCGTGAAATACATTTTTTTAAATGTTTATTCTTCAGTTTAAGCAAATTCAGACACTGATTTTCAGTGATATGATTCGTAAGATATGAGCAAATGACCGATTTATATTAAGATCAGAAAATGAACCTGCATTTCATTCTATACATTTAATCAAAATTGTTCTTTCAATCGAAAATACGCTTCAATTTGTTTTAGCTGGAGTTAACAATAAAACAAAAATGTGATTGCTAGCGGCGAACTCTATATATTAGTAGAGTACATAATTTAAAATATATATTTCATGGCCATAGCATGGATGGCAATCACAATGTATCAGTGTGAAAGTTTATTGAGAAATTATGATTAATAAGGACGTTTTTGAAGAGCGGGATCTAAGTGAACCAATCTTGATTTATACACGATGGATTATACATGAACCAGTACACGTTAGTCTATTACAATACGTGATCGATTATCATTATCATCATCATTATTACTATATTTTATTTCAGTAATTAAGGAACATTCGAGGTGTCTTCAAATCTTACAAAATTGGATTGAGTTGGATTGGACTTCTTTGGTGTGAATATATCGTGGATAGCTCTGAAGACTTAATTTCTGTGGGTCCTTCTGGTGGTTAATTGGGCAATATGTACAGAGGGAGACAATCCGCTGCCGCTTTCCCATGAGGGAGGCCTACTAGGCCTATGTTCTTAAAGTTGCACATGGGTCATATTGCACACGGGACCAAGCTTAAATAAACGTCTCTTTCGAAAGCCGGCGCGGGGCAGCACATGTGCGCGGCGTCTAGCCTACTGCTGATATGAGAGTTCATATAAGCTGCAATATAACGAATGGTTACGTCATCTGTTATACAATTTTAAGACGATCTCCATTCATATCTATCAACAATGTCACACCGTATCTGTGTTTTACGTGAATCATCATGTACAAAAGCGGATATCATTTAAACAATACCTTACAACGCGATCCGACTAAATATAATTATGACTATGATATTAGGCGAGACTTTTTATACCTTGTTTAGCAAACCCTCCGACTGCAAATATTGATGATTTCGAATAAAAATAAAATATTTTATTTTTTGCCAATTAGCGCAACCGCCGCCAAAAAAAAGTGGAAATTTCAGAAAAAAAAAAGTTTTTTTTCTTTATTTTTATTACGCCCTCCGCTGCCTTAAAATCTCCAAAGATAAGATATTGATTTTTCTTCCTAATTATATAAATTTGAAGTATTTAACCATCATAACATTATTATTACATTCACCAATAAAATTTTATTTTCTCCTCCGTCTGGACGTTTTTGGCTAAACTATTTGCTAAATAAGGAAACAAAATTTTATTTTAAGTTTTATTCCCCCCCCTCCTCTGATAATCTTTAAAAAAATAAGTACGCGAAACAAGGAATAGAAAAAGTATGGCCATAACACTAATAATGTAAGCAATTTATTAGAATTGCCAAAACAACTTGCAGTAAAACTAGAATCAGAAGTCGGAATTGCATGCAAACACTCAGGGCCTCGGGCCTGCCCAAAATCGTCTGCTGTGCGTAAGAAAATATGTGTACACGTTGCCAAGCGCACAACTTAATTTTATAGGATCACAGAGATGTCAATAGACCTTTACGGAGTGGCAATCAAACTTAACAACTGACCAATCAGAACTGCGGTAGGAATACGCGCGCGGCTCACAAACACACGTGTTGTCCCACACACGTACGAGTTCGCGTATGTTTTAACCATTAACAGTCGTCTTGTGCGACCTTAGCAACAATATCCAAGGGGCGGGGCTTAGCGGAAAGGTCCTTAGGTCACATACACACATTGGTTTCTCCACCTTAATCAAACTGCACCATGCACTCATATAACAAGAATATTGTTTACTTAAAAGGGTATTATCAGATTACTATTGCAAATATTTATAATAAAAATAAACAACAGCACCAGCAACAAAAATAACAACAGCACTAACTGCTAGGGCCTACTACTACTATTAATATCATTCAGGGCTTATTTAAAAACTAATAACATTAATACTACTAATACTAATAATTATATAAATAAATAATAATAACAATATTAATAAACAATAATAATAATAATAGAAATATTATCAATAATGATAACAATAATATTAATAATAACAATAATGATAATAATAATAATAACAATAATAATGATAACAATAATAATAATAATAACATATATAATAATAATAATAAAAAGCATAATACTGTATTATTTCTATATTGTGTCGTCTGAATGTCGGCGATTTTTCCGGTAGTGCCCAGACTAAATGCATACTAAAATAATGACTAACAATTATCAATACTGCAATATTCGTAATTAGGCCTACCAAATGTGCCATCATCTCTACACATTTTCTTTCTGAAATTAGGGTAATTGTAATGGATCCATTGAATACAGACTTCGCGCCAAAATGGCTCCTAAAAGGATCTTAAGAAGGAGTACCTTAGGAAATTTCATCAGTTACAAATAATGTTGTAATCGCTAGATGCATAAGACACATTAAAGGGGCAAAGATGTTTCTTACGTATTGACGAACGATGTGCGAGTATACAGTACTTTCTTATGACGAAACAGTACGTATAACGCACTGGATGACAGCCACAACATGAAAAGCACTGGATGTTTCTAATTTTACAAGCATGAATTCAAGCTCAAACGTAATAGTGTCAACTCGTGAATAAATGTACTCCGATTCAGTTAAATGAGATGATTGCAATTTTTTTCTAGGTTTTTATTATCGTATTATCACGTAAATTATATTATATACACATCTGGATCATGCTTTCCTCGATGTTTAAACTTTTTGTTAACAAGTTATGATCTCGTTGAAAATATATTGAGCAAAGAGGAATTGGTATTGCTTTTCAAATTCATCGGAGAATTCTTTGGCTTATAATGCAAGTTTTAAACTATTTTTGCGACCTCCTGTAGCTACAGATATTAGATTAAGGGAAAATTCGATTTCGAAATAAGCACGCTCTAGATGCTTTAAGTACAACCGTTTTGACCATTAAATCGACAGTAGCTCCAATGCGTAATGGCTCCGAAGACGAAGCCTAAATTGATAACATGTCAACTTCTACATCCATTATCCAATTCACTGCGGTATGTTCTTGTATAGGATGAGCATGAATGTTGTATTTGGATTTCTATAGTTATCATGATAATGTTAAGTTTAAAGTGGTATACTTCTAAGTGTGTCATGAATTTTATTATAATAAACTTAAATCGATATATTTTGTCATCTTGTTTACTATTGTATGTATAGCATAGTGTAACAATCATCACCATTGTTTAGTGTTGTCAATAACGTAATTCGGCTATACAAAACAAGATGTGAACATTTACCTTCATGTGCAAATATCTGCATATTAAAGTTTTTATTGGGGTACGCATTCAAATGATACATACGTACA